GGAAAGAGTCACAAGATCTCATAATGTGGGGAAACATGTTGAGTGTATAGATTGCATGGTACAACCCACAGACACTGGCACTGCCTTTCCTTTTTTATCCTTAGAAGCTTATTGAGTCACAGATCATTGAAAGCTGTGATCATGGGCAACGTGTATGTGTGTGTGTGTGCATGCCTGTGCAAAATTGGATGCAACTCCACCATGCTTTGCACAGGGCTGCAATTTGTATGGGGGAGGAGTCCTCTGGCAGAAGCTCTGGAGAGGTTTTTTAGTCTTGTGCCAATAAACTGAAAAAAATTGGGGAGTATTTTTGCCCATGTTGTGGCGCAGATGCATTGTTGTTGTTCAGTCGCACAGTCGAGTCCGACTCTTTGTGACCCCATGGACCAGATCACGCCAGGCCTTCCTGTCTTCTGCCGTCCTCTGTGGCCAAAGTATTTGAGCTTCAGTTTCATTATCTGGCCTTCCAGGGAACAGTCAGGGTTGATTTCTTTTAGGATTGACTGATTTGATCTTCTTGCAGTCCAAGGGACTCTCAAGAGTCTTCTCCAGCACCATAGTTCAAAAGAATCTATTCTTCGGCGCTCGGCCTTCCTTATAGTCCAACTCTCGCAGCCATACATGACTACTGGGAATACCATTGCTTTGACCATGCGGATTTTTGTTGGCAGGGTGATGTCTCTACTTTTTATCATGCTGTTTAGGTTCGCCATCGCTTTCCTCCCAAGGAGCAGGCGTCTTTTAATTTCATGGCTGCAGTCACAGTCTGCGGTGATCTGGGATCCCAGGAACGTGAAGTCTGTCACTACTTCCACGACTTCCCCTTCTATTTGCCAAGGAGTGATGGGGCCGGATGCCATGATCTTAGTTTTTTTGATGTTGAGCTTCAAGCCCACTTTTGCGCTCTCCTCTTTTACCCTGAGCAATAGGCTCTTTAGGTCCTCTTCACTTTCTGCCATTAGAGTGGTATCGTCTGCATTTCTGAGGTTGTTGATCTTTTTCCCAGCAATCTTAATTCCCACTTGTGATTCATCCAGGCCAGCATTTCGCATGATGTACTCTGCATATATAGTAAATAAGCAAGGTGACAATATACATCCTTGTCGTACTCCTTTTCCTATGCTATACCAATCAGTTGTTCCATATCCGGTTCTAACTGTCGCTTCTTGACCCTTATACAGGTTTCTCAAGAGACATGTGAGGTGGTCTGGTACTCCCATCTCTTTAAGGACCTGCCATAGTTTGTTGTGATCCACACAGTCAAAGGCTTTAGCATAGTCAATGAAGCAGAAGTAGATGTTTTTCTGGTACTCTCTTGCTTTCTCCATAATCCAGCAAATGTTGGCAATTTGATCTCTAGTTCCTCTACCTCTTCGAAACCCAGCTTGTACTTCTGGCAGTTCTCTATCCACGTACTGTTGAAGCCTAGCTTGTAGGATCTTGAGCATGACCTTGCTAGCGTGTGATATGAGTGCAATTGTGCAGTAGTCTGAACATTCCTTGGCATTGCCCTTCTTTGGGATTGGAATGTATAGTGACCTTTTCCAATCCCGTGGCCACTGTTGCGTTTTCCAAATTTGCTGGCAAATTGAGTGCAGCACTATAACAGCATCATCTTTTAAGACTTTGAATAGCTCAGCTGGGATACCATCACCTCCACTAGCTTTGTTGTTAGTAATGCTTTCTAAGGTAGATGCATAGTAATGCAAATTTCCTGCCCTTCCTTGTGAATTTGCATGGTTTTTTCTTAGTGATTCCCTAATTTGATTCTGCACACTGGTTGTCATCTTGGCATTTTTTAAAAGCCTGTCCTGTGCGGATTGTACTCTTCTTCCAAATGGATCGATCCCAAGCAATTCTTGTTTGGTGGTTTGCAGAAGATCCCTGTGGCTGAGCCACCATTTTAATGTTAGGCTTCTAGAGACTGCCAAAATGGTCCCCCCCATTAAAGGGAAAAATGTATTCGAAGTTTTAGGCCTAAAATACCTTTCAAAATCCTAAAGGTTTTTCTCATTGCTAAGGCAAAAAATAAAATAATAAAATCCACTGACTAGGAGGATGCAAGCCAACAACAGTCCCATCCCTCTCAATCACCAAGCAGCCTGTGGCATTTAGTGTCTTTAAAAGTGACAAGAAGTTTCTCCTAGTCTCTATGGAGTTTTTTGATATACTTAAGGAGAAGTTTTACTGAGTGACTGGAAGAACCAATGAATTTGTTTAGATTAAAGCTGAGACCATCATAGATTGACTTTTTTTTTTATATAATCAAACTGAAAGGTGGGTGAATTTACCAAGTCAGATGAGATGGTATTTTACATTGCCATAGATGAAAAATAAACAGCAGAATCAGTCAAACAGCAGAAAAGTTTCAGTGTTCAGATTTTAGATGATGCCAGAATGCTAACTACAAAAGAGGTCCCTTTGTTCATTAATTTGATCATCTTCTGTATCTTTATCATTAAGTTAGGAGCATTGCCACATAATTGGTCCATCTATGTGCTTTGATGAACTAACTTTAATCTCTCTTCCCAAATTGCTTCTTCCTTTTGCAAAAAGGATTGACAGGATTTCAGAGGAAGCAGGCTTCCCACCTTTCACCAAGACTGTAGTGTTTGTCTTTATGTGACTTCTTTGAGGATATATATTTTAATCCCAGCATTCTTTGGGTATAGAGTAAGAGTAAGAACACTTCCTTCAAATGATGAGCCTCAATAATGTTCCATTAACATTTTCATTGTCTCGTTGGAGAGTATGAAAGGAACTGGGACCTAGGACAAGTTATCTTGTTGACAGACTGTTCATTAAAAAAGACAAGGGAAAACCTTTAGAAAAAGCCCATTTTGACTCTGCATCTTCTTGAGAACTTCCCAAATTATCTTCACAGTGTGTGGATTTAGATTAACATCATATCACCATCAGTTTGTCTGAAAAAAGGCGGTCTATGAATATTTAAATTAATACATAAACAAAACAACAAGGATATTGCAACTGAAAAGCCTTGAAATAATGGAAAAGGTGAAGATGCTCTGAGGGAGGAAGTTCATTTACCTATCCAAGCAGAGAGAAATAGCCATGAGGGTGTATCTGTTTCTGGATGGGTTTGCATAGAGCAAAATTGTAATGCCATTTGAGGAACAGTGTGGGCAGAACACACTATAGACTACCTCTCCTACCCTTTTCCTAAACACAGAACTGCACTTTCTCTCTCCCAACGGCTCCTGTTGCAAAGCAGCATTGGCCAATATGGTGATGGAGGTTTAGTCACAGTCAACAGCTGCAACTGAGGGGGAGGGGGCAGGGGTCCCACACCCATACCAGCTGGAGTGGAATGCTGGCATTGGATGCATGCAGGCCACAAAAGCCAACAAGCATAAAGCAATGAACAGAGATTAAGAGGGGGGACAAGAAAAGTAAAGCCCTCCTCCAACAGGCAGGCAAAGTTACTGGGACTAGCTGCTTGTGTATCCCGCATGCCTGTGGGCAAAATTTGGCAACTTTGTGGGTTATCTTCTGAAAGGAGTCTGCAAGGAGGAGAAATGCATAAAGCTGTTCACATGTTCCCGGTGTAGTTGACAGAATTAGAGCAATATACTGATGTTGAATGTTATTGTAGAATGGACAATGGAGGAGAACATGTTCCATAGACTCTACTTTCCCTGTATGACATGGACAAAGCCGTTGAGAGAGTGGGACACAATGGTATCTGCCTTCCAGAAGGGCTGAAGGTAGAGCATTAAAGCGTGCCAGAGTAAAGATTCTCTGATATTTAGAGAGCTCAAGGGGTCTAAGATCATCTGCTGGTTGAAAACATTTGGAAAACATTTGTCATGCTGCAGAATAACTGGATATTTCGGTAGCTGTGCCCTATCTGATTGTACGGCATGATTCCCGAACCAATGTTTGATTGTTTCTTTTGCTTTTTGATACCCAAGATGCAGTAAAACTTGAGAGGAGAAGCTGTGCTCCTGGAGTTTCCCCTTGACTGCACTTAGCCAGGTTGAGTGGTGGCTGTCGGCAAAGATTCAGGGGTCTAGACTCACTAGATTGAAAATGAATTTTAGCCAGGAGTTGGATGCAAGCAGCTACCTGAAGTACATAGAGAACAGTACCCCCTGGAAGAAACTTCAAATAGGTTTTGGAGGTCAATAATCTGGCGTTGGCTCAATCTGTATGCATATATATACACACACACACACACAAAAAATTCTTTTTCATTACTTTTTACAATAACACAAGAGGACGAAAATTGCCTCATAAACAAACAAGGGTTTCTGTTATGTTTGCCACTCCCATTGAAAATTTTACATCATTGATTAAAAGTGGCACCATTGCTCAAATCGGTTTAAGCTTCAGTTGATTAATTTACTGCTAAAAGCATTTTGGTTTGATCCAGTTACCTCACATAAACTTAGATATTGCTGGCCTATTTACAAATTATCATAAGACCTACATTTCACAAATAACATTTGATAAGTTATTCGGGTAATTAAAAGAGAGACTGAGAAGCACTGCTTTTGTATGATAGAGTTGACGAAACAGTTTATTATTAGAGACTGACTACAATGAAATATAAAAAGTACTAATAACCAAGACAGCCATTCTGCAGAGGCTATCCAAAACATACCAATAACATGGGGGAATCACCTTACAGTAATGATCTATACTGAGCTGGTTCAACATCCAAGTGATGCAGGCAGCTGCTTGGGGCACCACATTGGCAGAGGGGCAGGTGACTGCTGTGGATTGTGCCAGTTATCTCTTCCCACCAAACCTGAGCTGCTGCCACCTGGGTCCAATAGTAGCTGAAACCTGGAACCAAAAAGCAGAGCACAGGAGGAAGGAAGAACACCTCTCTCCTTGTTATTCTTGCTGCTGCCAAGCTCCAAGATTTGGAATGGCGAAATGCGTCTAGAATATATATATATTATATATATAATGATCCACTTTACATCAGAAAGCATTTATTGTTGTTTGCATTACACAGATGATAGAGTGACATTCAGTCAAGAGCTATGTTATTTTCTGCACAACAGACCAATTGTGAGCCTTCCTTAGAGTTGAAGGAAGAGTTGATGTTTATACCCTGCTTTTCTCTAAAGGAGCCTCAAAGCTGCTTACACTCTCCTCCCCTTCTTCTCACCACAGCAGGCACCTGGCGAGGGAGGTGGGGTTGAAAGTGTTCTGAGAGAACTGTGGCTGGCCCAAGGTCACCCGGCAGGCTTCATGTGGAGGGGTGGGGAATCAAACACAGTTCTTCAGATTATTTATTTATTATTTATTTTAGGTATTTTTACCCCGCCCTCCCCGCAAGCGGGCTCAGGGCGGCTTACAGGGGCATAAACCCATTCATAAAAACAATAAAATCCAATAAAATCACAGATCACAACTAATAATATCCTATTAAGAATAGGATAAGAATCCACTGCTCTTAACTGCTATATTTGGGGTGTGGAAGGAATCTCCCTACAAGATCATTAAAAAATCCTGGGATTCACCCTTTCTGACAGAGAGAACACTAGACATCTTTGGAGCTCCTTGCAAGCTTGTGAATTTAGTCTTTGTTGTGTAGGTTTAGGTTATTCATTTAGAAAGTTTTCATGCAACTTCTACAGGAACATGCCAAATATAGCTTACAGTTTTCAAAAAAATTATAAAAACAAAAGATTGACGATATTAATTAAAATCCAGCATTAAAACCCTGGCCCAGCATAAACACATAGACATAGGAAGGTAAGTCTTGTGGTCTTGATGGTTCTATTGTTTGGGCTCTTGGCCTGAAATAATGCCCCTTGGTTTTTAGTGGGAACCGCTAAAATGCACGACATGTCTCTACACTACTAAGAAAATATACAGCCTTTTGAACTGATAGCTCCAATCCACAGCTCAGTGGAAGCTGAAATATTTTCATCTAAGTTCATTTGGGGCCAGTTAAAATCCATTTTTACTTTGTCTGAATATTTAAAATTAGGGCAATGACTATTTCAAAGTACTTATCTAAAAACTTTGGATTGAATTTGCACAGCCAAATGTTAGGAAGTAATATAATGAAGCTGCAGGTAAATTCCAGAATATAATTATGAAATTAATCTAAGAAACTCAGAAAATGGAAACTAAAAATGTGTCCAGCATTTATACCAATTGTCACAAGATGTCGCTGCCCACTGAAAACTGAAAGGCTCTTCCTGACAAAGATCAAAGCCCCTCCCAGCCACACAAGTAAGAACAAGAGACTGTACGAGGAAGATGGAATGGATACTGCAACATTTCTCACCATTTAAGGTCAGATCTGGAGAGTGGATATAATATTTAAAACCAGGAATATAACCTACCGTTGCTATGGTTGTTGTGCACCGATGCCTCCTGGTGAGATCCTGGCTGCTGCAGGTGATTCTGCTCCACACCGCTTGTGAAATGGGGAGTGGGCAGCTCCATTATTCTGTTCCAGAAGAATCCCAGCATGGCGCCTTCGTGGGCCACATTGCCCAGGACCTGGGACTAGAGGTGGGTGAACTCATGCCTCGGATGTTCCGGATGGTGTCCCAAGGCCGCAGAGACTATTTTGAAGTAAACCTGCAGAATGGGATTTTATTTGTTAATTCCCGGATAGACCGGGAGGAGCTATGCGCCAAGATGCCGGTATGCACCATTCACCTGGAAGTGATCCTGGATAAACCCCTGAGAGTCTTCCATGTGGAAGTGGAGATCAAGGACATAAATGACAATGCGCCCCTATTCCCGGCAGCTGAGCAAAATCTGGTTATTGCAGAATCTACTCTTCTGGGCTCATCCTTCCCACTAGAGGGAGCCTCTGATGACGACATTGGTTCAAACTCTCACATCAGCTACAAAATCAGTCCAAATGAACATTTCACCTTGGATGTTCAAGACAATGAGGAACATGGTGAGTCTTTACTTCTAGTGTTAAAGAAACCTCTTGACAGAGAGCTAACTCATGTGTATAATTTATTACTAACAGCCACTGATGGGGGCAAACCAGAGCAAACTGGCACTGCTCATCTGGTGATCAATGTGCTGGATGTAAATGACAATGCACCCATTTTTAATCAGTCTGTGTATAAAATAAAACTTTTGGAAAATGCAAAAATAGGAGCAGTAATTGTTAGTCTCAATGCAACAGATCTTGATGAAGGAATTAACAAAGATATCACATATTCAATACGAAGTGTAAATCCAAACAATTTAGGAACATTGATTAATTTAGATCCAAGTAATGGACAAATGAGATTAAATGGAGAACTTGATTTTGAAAGTATTACATCAAGTGAAATTGCAATTGAAGCAACTGACAAAGGCCTCCCACCCATAAAAGGACATTGCAAAGTTCTGATTGAGGTTTTGGATGTTAATGACAATGCACCAGAAGTGACAGTATCCTCCTTGTCAGTGCCGGTACTTGAGAATTCTCCACTGGGGACAGTGGTGGCCCTCATCAGTATCTCGGACAGGGACTCTGGGGCCAATGGGCAAGTGACCTGCTCCCTACGGCCTTCTGGGCTCCCCTTCAAGCTGACATCCACCTTCAAGAATTATTACTCACTCGTACTGGCTGAGCCACTGGACCGGGAGCAGGTGGCCGAGTATAGTTTGGTGGTGTTTGCCCAAGACCAAGGGGACCCTCCACTGTCAGCCAGCAGCAGCCTGGTGGTGCCAATCAGTGATGTGAATGACAATGCACCGACTTTTGCACAACCCTCCTATACCATTTTCGTGAAGGAGAACAACCCACCTGGTGCTCACATCTTCACGGTGTCTGCCTCGGACCCAGATGTGGCGGAGAACGCCTTGGTCAGCTACTGGCTGGATGAGAAGCTCTGGCCGCTGTCGAGCTACATCTCGGTGCATTCGGAGAGTGGGAAGCTGTATGCCCTGCAGCCCTTGGATTACGAGGAGGTGAAGCTGCTGGAGTTCCAGGTGAGGGCCAAGGATGCTGGGCTGCCCTCCCTGTGTGGCAACGTGACCGTCCAGGTCTTTGTGTTGGATGAGAATGACAACACACCTGCAGTGTCTGGTCCAGCAGAGGATACCCCCACTCTGGTGAAGGTTCCAGTGGCAGCTGGGTATGTGGTGGGCAAGATCCATGCCCTGGACGCTGACTCTGGCTACAATGCCTGGCTTCGCTACGAGTTGCAGGATGCAACCAGCAGCCCCTGGCGGGTGGGGCTTTACAGTGGTGAGATCAGTACCATACGTACTCTGGAGGAGACAGAGGGCAGCAACATCCAGAGTCTGCTGGTTCTGGTGAAGGATCATGGCAAGCCGGTACTGTCAACGACAGCGACCTTCAGCGTGTCACTGGTGGCCAGCGCCCAGGCTGCCCAGACTGATGCCCGCCTCTCTAGGATGGGAGGGAGCGCAAAGCCCCTGGCAGACACTGCTAATCTCTACCTGATCATCGCCATCTGCTCAGTGTCCAGCTTGTTCCTGCTGGTGATCCTCGTGTATGTGGCACTGCGATGCCAGAGCCAGGCCAAGGAGGCAATGATGTATGGTCCTGGCACAGCCACGCTGGTGTGTGCCAGTGAAGTGGGCAGCTGGTCGTATTCCAATCGCCACAGCCACATCCTGGCAGGGGTGAGTGGGGATGCTGGTGCCAAAAGCGACCTCATGGTGTTCAGCCCCAACATTCCTGTTTTGGCCGAGAGTGGGAAGGAGCTGGTCCCGAATGCTACTGGGCAGGTGAGTTGCAGTCATTGACACAATTATTTTGTTTTGGTACATTTGCCATGTTTTGGTATTTGTTATTCCTTTTGGCATGAAACTTATTTTACCGGAGGGAGGACTGTTTTTGTATGTTATTCATTTCTAAGAACTATATTTACCGTGCATCTGTTTAGTTTATGTTTCATTATATTGATTCCTCTCTGCTTTCCTTCCTGGTACAGTACTACTTAATTCCTCCTCCCATGTCTATTCTTTTTGTACTTCAATTAATACTTGTAACCCTCAGTGGTTCTTCAGTGTCTATGTTACAGTAGTGTTGGGTGTGTGTGAGAATTATCCATACTTATTTGATAAGATCAGTTCAACCATGTCCTTGTATCTGTTTTCTTAAGTATGCCTTTCAGATAGTTGGGGTTTAAGCTCCTGGGTGTATTGTATGGTGAAACCAACCTCTATAATTTTCGTTATTTGATCTGAAGAAGTGGCAGATAAATGTTTAAAATAAATTAAATCTGTGTGCCACCTCTTCAGAGACCTGCGGAACTTTTGCTGAGCCTGGTGAAGGAAGCCCTGGGCACACAAAAGTATGCTCCAGGTCCCTGCTTGTTTGCTTATTTAGGAGATTTTAATGCTGCCTGTCCAGAGACCCTCTGAATTATACAGTCATAAAAACACCAGATAAAGCCTCATGAAACAATCATAGGCAGGAGGGATCAAAGTTCTCTGTTGTCTACCAACATTTCTGAAAAACAATAGAACGACTGTGGTTGAAATGGTTTATTTCCTGTTTTTAAAAATACAAACAATGGCAGTGTTTTGTTGCAGGTGTATACTACACTACCCCAACACACCACATCCTTATGTGCTCTGGGCTCATTCCCCTGCAAGGCTCTGGCTATGAAGCATCAGGAGTGGGAGGCAGGGTTTGCTTTCACTGCAACAAGCCCTTTATTTTCTCCCAGATTTATGTATATGGAATGAAGTAAAGGGGTTAATCTGGGGACATGCTTCGGATGGGAGTCAGATGCATCACCTGCTGCTAGCATCCTCAGCCACTGAGAGTTCTGTTCGCTCTTCTTTACATGGCCTCTTCATCTACAAGGCCCACTTCTACAAGAGAGCCAGTTTGGTGTAGTGGTTAAGAGAGCGGACTCTAATCTAGGAGAATCAGATTTGATTCCCCACTCCTCCACATGCAGCTGCTGGGTCAGTCACAAGTTATCTCAGAGCTGTTTTCTCAAGAGCAGTCCTCAGAAGAGCTCTCTCAGCCCCACCTACCTCACAGGGTATCTGTTGTGGGGAGGGGAAGGGAAAGGAGTTTGTCAGCCGCTCTGAGACACCTTTGGGTAGAGAAGGGTGGGGTATAAATCCAATCTCCTCCCCCTCCTTCCTTGTGTTTCTTGGCAACAATGGCATCTTACAGACATTTGGAAACCATTGCCGAAATCAAGATGTCCACATAGACTGTTTATTGTGCTGTCTGTACTGATTTTCCACCTTTGATAACAGCATATTATGGGCATGTTATAGTGTAATGGTAAACAAGAAATTGTGACTTTTGTTTTTATGCAGATAACACAATATAAATCCCATTTTCTAATCTGTAAACTATGAATGCCCTTGACCTTACTATTTTACAAAATCTTACAAAAAATTACAGTTACTTTAACTAAATACATAGGCCAAGCTATTTCAAATGGATTATCTAGTTTAAAGTTTTAAATCCTGTTCTTGCTGTTAAGTAAATAGTAAACAATACTAGAAATAAGGACCACCTGAAGGACAACCTCTTTGTATATTGTCCTGCTCGCCCATTAAGCCCTGGCTCACAGGTGGTTACTAGAGCAGTCCGTAGGTCCCTCAAACACAGCTCGTGCCAATTACCTGAGATAGCCACAGAAGGCCGAAGACCCAATTGGGATAATGAGGATTGTTGCTAGCACTTTATCATGTTTCAATTTTAATGTTGTATGTGATTTTATTATGATTGTTTTATGCGAATTTTATTGTTGTAAGCCGCCCTGAGCTGGCCTTGGCTGGCAGGGCGAGATAAAAAATTAATAACAAATAAATAAAAATAGAGACAGCATTTTCTGTAGTGGCACCTTGCTTTGGGAATGCCCTTCCCCCTTGCAGCCCACCTGATGCCTACATTGCTTTCTTTTAGGTGCTGGGCCAAAACATTTCTGTTCACCTAGGCTTTTAATTTAGGGTTTGATTTTTTAAAAAACAAACAAGCAAACACGATTTTAGTCTTACGGCTGTTATTTTTAAACTCTCTTTTTACGGTCTGTGTTTAATGGTGGGCTGTTTTTTATGGCATTTTGTTTTGTTTTTATTTTTGTTTTTTGAGCTATTTCAGGCACGTTCCTGAAGAGGCATCATAACTTTTTAAAAAAGGAAGAAGTCAGTAATGGGATATGAATTTGCACAGTGAGAAAACCTGATTTCTTGACTGTGTATACTGATGGAGATGCTATTTGTTTTCATCAATATCAATTTGAAAATTTGTCCTTCAAGTTCATGGGGTTGTAGGCTGCATAGTTTATGAATTCCAGCTGTACTCTGGGAAATCTATTGAAATAATTTGCAAGAA